ATGTCGGTGAAGACGACCTCGTTTTCTGGCGTCGTTCAACTGGGAGACCTCATCTCGCTCTCCGGCGGGAGAGGGAGGGGGAGCAGAAGGGAGGGGGGAAGGAGGAGGGAGGACTTGCCTCGGAATTGCCTGTCGCCCAGATGCGGTGGGTCAGCAATCACGGCAACCCCGAGGGCTCTGGGTACAAAACACCTGGGGGGCGTCGGAGCGCAGCTTCGCGCCGAGCTCGCCCCAGATCGCATTCAGCCGCAGCCTCGGGGACGCGACGGCCTGGATGCTGACCCCTACGGATCAGCGCCAGGTTCTCGCGTCCTTTCCTTGCGGCCTCGCCGCGCTCTCCCAGCAGCCAGCGGGGGTCGGTCGTGGCCGCGAAGCCGCACCGAGCGCAGAAAAACAGGCTATGGCGCGGCCACAGCTGCACTCGGTGCGATGCGTGCAGAACTCTCCCACCCGCCCGAACCTCCGCTCCCACCGCCCGAATCTGGGGCTCCCCACTTCGCGCTTCGCGCTGCGCGAAGCGCGAAGTGCGAATAATTTCGCGCTCTCGCGCCGCCCCCCCGAAGGGAGAAAAGGAGGACGAGGAGGAGGGGGAGGAGGAACGAGGACCGCGAAGAGCGAAAAACCTCGCACCCTCGTGGGAGCCCTTGGCGATGCATGCAGAGCCCTCCCACCCACCCGAACCTCCGCTCCCGCCGCCCGAATGCTGCCAGCAGGGTGCGTCTCCGCCGCATCGCCGACAGCTATGGCGCGAATAACTTCGCGCTCTCGCGCTACCCCCCCCCAAAGGGAGAAAAGGAGGACGAGGAGGAGGGGGAGGAGGAACGATGAGGAACGAATACCGCGAAGCGCGTCGGCAGGATGCGTATCCGCCGCACCGCCGACAGCCGTGCAGGGAAAGGCACAGGCCTCGGCGGGGCAGGCGCCCAGCGCCAGCGGGCGACAGAGGGCACGCGCCCGGGTGGCGGCCTGCACGCACGGAGCAGTGACTGGAGGCAGGGAATGAAGGCCTGGAAATGGGCACCAACACCAACACAGGGGGGTGCCTCCACCGGGGGAGGACGATCCTAGATCTCGGTGCTGGTGGTAATCTTTCGGCCGCCTAGGAAGCCAGAGTATTACATACCACCATCACCGAGATCGGGACACTCTTCCCTCGGTGGAGGCACACCGCCGATATTGGTGTTGGTGTCAACCTCTAGGCTTCCGAAAGGAGCGCCTGCTGGAGAGCAGACGAGAGGGGGGGAGATCTGGCGCTCGGTGGCCGCTCAGCCGTCCACGGAGCAGCCGCAGTCGCATCAATGAAGGCCTGGCTGGCGCGCTTGCGCACCAAGGCGGCCGTGCAGTCCCGGGTGTCCGTGTGCGGGGCGCTGCCGACGCGTGCCGCCTGCCAGGCGCGGCGAGAGGCAGCGCTGGCGAGCTCGTCGGCCGCGCCGTTGCCCTCCGCTAGGCACCGCTCCCCCGCCGAGAGCTCGGGGGAAGTGGGGTCGAGGTGACTGGGGGCCCAGATTACCCTGACCTCGCCCTCGTGCGCCAGGAAAGCGGCCCTGATCAGGCGCCAAATGTCTGCCTTGGGGCCCGTGCCCCCGCCCGTGCGATGGAGCCCTTGCTCCCATCCTCGCATCAGCATACATCCCCGTGAAAAAATGGGAAAGGGATGTAAGCCAAAACGATGTCGAATTAGACCAGGCGGGGCCCGTCGCATCAAACGACCTACACCTGTCAGCGTTACGAAGAACGTATCGTCTGCCCGTGCGATGGAGCCCTTGCATGCCCTTGCTCCCGTTCTCGCATCAGCATAGCACAGTCGGTGGCATAGAGCTGCGGCCCCGCGAAGGAGGCCAGGGCGAGCGCAGAGGCCCGCAGCTCAGCCCCGGGGACCGTCTGGCGACGGCCGGAGGAGGAGGAGGAGGAGCAGGAGGAGGAGGAGCAGGGGGATGAGGAGGAGGAGGAGGAGCAGGGGGATGGTGATGATGATGATGATGATGATGATGGTGATGATGGTGATGGTGATGGTGATGATGATGATGATGGTGCTGGTGCTGATGCTGATGACGATGATGATGACGATGATGATGATGATGATGATGATGATGATGATGATGATGATGATGCTGATGCTGATGATGATGATGCTGCTGCTGCTGCTGCTGATGATGATGATGATGATGATGATGACGAGGTGGAGGAGGAGGAGGAGGAGGAGGGGGAGGAGGAGGAGGAGGAGGAGCAGGGGGATGATGATGATGATGATGATGATGATGATGAGATGATGATGATGATGATGATGATGATGATGATGACGATGATGATGATGATGATGATGATGATGACGATGAAGGATGTGGGATGGTGATGAATTAACGAAATGATGATGAGCTGATGCTGGGGATGCGTGTATGATGATGGACGATGAAGAAATGTGATGTGATGAGGATGGCGTGATGTCTCTGATTCTGCTGATGATGATGATGATGATGATGATGATGATGTTGATGATAAT